GAGTACAAACAGATCAATTGATAAAGGTTAATAAATTATTTAAAAAATAAAAAGAGAAATTTTACATCATTCAATTTACTGTTATTTTTGCTTCCTTTTTTTGGCTTTTTGAGTTTTTCTTAACAATAGCAAAATTACGGGAGCAGCAAAACTCTAAGCCAGAGCTGTAGCTTTAACCCTGTCGCTACCAGAGCATTTTTTGCACACATGATATAATCCACATTTTAGGCTTGAAAATGACTTAAAAACCCCCCTTTTAGAGTCATACATTTCCTGAGAGCAGAGATCCTGTAGAATAAAATGGCGGCAGTTGCAAATGTTTATGTTGCAAATTATTAGCGCAACTTTTTATCAAGTCCAAAATTTCAGAAAAAATACAATTACGTTAATGTTAGGACACAAAAACACAATATAAGATTCACTTTTTTTAAACAATATAAAAGGCAAGGGTGTTCCGAGTAAATAGATACCAAACATGCCAAGCTTAAAAATTGTTTACACCCGTGAAGCGGCGAGAAACTACAGTACCCCAAACTGTCCATAGGCGATGCTTTAAAAGTTTGTACAGGTCATCAGTTTAAAATTAACCATGAATATTGGCCCTAGAATTATTGCTTTCACTGTGGTGCACGTGGCGATACCTAACACGTGTGGCACAATCATTGTTTTCGTATGTAGGCGCACCCAATTATTGTGTTTGTTAGTATGTGCAGGGGCGGGGGAAAAATGTTTGGGAGTATTTTTACATTTATTTTTATTTAACTTTAGAAGCCATTTGTGATAGCACATTGGAGGTGTCAGGTGCTCTTTAAGGTGAGGTCTTTTTTAAAAAAATATTTAATCTTTATTTTTTATTATTTATCAGACATTTAACAAACATTTAACAATTGTTGAGGCATCCCATATATTTCACATAAAACCGTGTACATATACATATGTTTACCATGCGCTTTCCTCTATGGTTCTCCTCCCAATATTAGTCTTTTCTTTCATGTCTCCCCCATTATTCGCTGGATTAAGAGCATATACTAAATGGGGTCCCAGAACACCAGAGGTGAGTAGCTCAACAACCTCAACTATATACCTAAACAAACAACAACAACAACAAAAAAGAGGGGAAAAAAAGGGAGGGGAATAGAGGGAAGGGGGAGGGGAGTGCAGAGATCCACATCTGACTTGTTGTATTCTTTGTACCCTTTTATTTATTTAATGACTAGTCAATTGCTAGAGAGGGTGGTGGGTCTAACGGCTCTCCAAGGGGCCCATGTGGCTTCGAACAAGTGTGTCCGTTCTTGTCTTGCCATTGTAAGTTTTTCCATCAGGCATAGGTATTCTACTTTGGTTATCCATTCTGTAATTGTAGGTATTGTAGCAGTGTTCCAATATTTAGGGATCAAGAATTTTGCAGCGTTCAATAAATGTGGTAATAGCATTTTCCTATATCTGGCATGGGGTATGTCTGAGAGGTGTAGTAGGCACACCCATGGGTCATTAGGGGTTACTTGCCCCGTTATAGAGGAAATAAGTTGGATAACTTGCTTCCAGTATGGTTTAATCTTGGGGCAGAACCACCATATGTGCCCATGGGTGCCCATCAATCCACATCCCCTCCAACATTCCGGGGAGCGGGATGGGTGCATTGCATGGAGTCTGTCCGGGGTGTAATACCACCTTGCCAGTAATTTAAATGAAGCCTCCACCACATGGGTGCTTATTGAGGACGCAGAATTAAGGCTGAGAAGCCTTTTTTTCTGGGTGCTTGTCAATATATTGCCTAGATCTGCCTCCCATTGTTGGATGTATGACGGGTCATGAGACGTCCTTGAAGATAGCAGTATTTTATACATCCGCGAGAGACCATGTGATGGAGGATTTATTTGTGATAGTAAGGTCTCTAGAGGATGTAAATTTTCTACTGTTCTAAGTGGCATGGGGAGAGAGGCAACGAAATGATGTAACTGCTGGTACCGCCATTTATCCCAGGGTCTAATCCCATACTTCTTTTGTATCTGTTGTAATGTATCTACCTGGCCGGAGTCTTGTAGAACCTCGTGTAGTTTAGGGAATTTATCAGTCGACCAATGTCGTAGGCCTTTATCCCCTAGTCCTGGGGGATAGAATGAATGTCCTATCAGGGGCAATAGTGGAGAATTATAGGGACCTACCAGTTGTGGGTATAGTTTTGTCCATATAATTAGAGTAGTCCTGGTCAATGGGGAGGTAGAATTCGATAGTTCTCTGTATTCTGGTGGAATCCATGGTATTGTCAGTAATGACTGTGCTGCTAATGAGAACTCTAAGTCCACCCACCGCTTGTTCCCTTTTTGGTAGGTCCAATCTAGCACTCTGTTAAGTGCTACGGCCTTGTAGTACAAATTAAAGTCTGGCAAGGCCAGACCGCCTTCCCGTTTGGTCCTTATCAAAGTCTGCCGGGAGATTCTTGCTCTAGACCGGTTCCATATATATTTATTGGTCACTTTACATATGGTCCTCAGATAGCTCTCCGGCAAGGAGATAGGCACCGTTTGCAACAGATATAACACCCTGGGCAGGACATTCATTTTAATGGCATTGATCCTACCCGTTAAAGTTAGGTAAGGCCGATCGTTTGCCCACTTCGATAAGTCTGATTTTATATTGTTTAAGAGGGGGATATAATTATGCTTTATCAAATCTAAAAATTTAGGGGTCAACTGTATGCCAAGATATTTCAACTTATTTGATCTCCAGATAAATGGCAACACACTACGGAGATGTTGGCATTCCTGTGGGGGCGCTGTAAGGTTCATTATTTCTGACTTATGTAAGTTTATACGGAAATTTGAGATTTTACCGAATTGTTCAAATTCCTTAAGAAGATTGGGAATTGTGGTTCTGGGTTGTCGCACAAAGAAAAGAATATCGTCGGCGTATGCCGCTATCTTGTGTTCCTGTCCCTGAACCTCAATACCTTTTATGCTTACGTTATTCCGAATAGATATGAGCATAGGCTCTAAAGACAATGTGAATAAAAGGGGTGATAGTGGGCATCCCTGTCGGGTGCCATTGTGCAGCTCAAAAGCTTGAGACCGACTACCATTAATTTTTATTTGTGCAGTGGGTTTGTGATAAAGTGCCTTAATTGAGTGTAGCATTCTTGGGCCTAACCCTAGGTGTTCAAGTGTACTATTTAGGTAGTCCCAATCGACCCTATCGAACGCTTTTTCCGCATCTGTCGCAAGGATCATGGTCGATAGGGTGGATGTGGATGCATAGTTAACTAATGTGAGTGCCCATTGAGTGTTATCTCTGGCTTCCCTACCCGGTATAAACCCTGACTGATCCGCTGAAATAAGATGGGGTAATAATGGGGCCAGGAGTTTAGCTAGAATTTTTGCGAATAATTTAATATCCGCATTTAATAATGAAATAGGCCTGTAACTACTGAAAACAGTTGGGTCCTTACCGGGTTTAGGGAGGACAGAGATATGAGCATGTAATGTGGCAGGGTCAGGAGGTCTACCAGTGGGGAAAGTGTTTAAATATGTACATAGGTGCGGTAAAAGGGTGGTTTGAAAAATTTTGTAATACTTTAACGGAAACCCGTCTGGCCCGGGGCTTTTCCCCATTGGAGTTGTCATTATAGCCTCCAAAAGTTCTTGTTCAGTTATTGGAGCCTCTAAGGACAACATTGTGGTCTGATCGATCTTGGGTAGGGGAAGGGTAGCCAGGTACCTTTGTATTAGGGCGTTGTGTCGTCTAATAGAACCCCAATGTCACCTTTGCACTTCAAAGAAGCTGATCAAGCACAGATTGTGCTTGAACAGCTTCTTCCCCAAGTTCTCTAGCCGGGGAATTAAATTTCAGAAATTGGAAGTGATGCAATCAGCATCGCTTCCAGCTTCAAGGATGTTCGCTGGTCTCTCTCTGTTACCAAACGACACCTGTAATGCTGGTCCCGGGCCTGCAGGAGGGTCAGCCGAGCCTGAGAAGCAAGCTGGGGGGGTGTTGGGCGGGGTGTTTCTCCGTTTACTATAGCAGCTATAGCTGCCGGGAGTCTGTTTACAGGGACCAGGGGCGCAAGGCATATCGCGCTGGCAGTAAAAGTATTAAAAAAACATGTGATGAGAGAAACATGAATCCTGCCAATATTTACCTCTTTGAAAATGTGCTCTCTCTCTCTCTCTCAAGTGTGGCTTTAAATTTAGCCCTCAATGACCTCTGCACCTGCAAACACTGAAGCATTTCCTCCTCAAAATCCACAGCAGAAGTGGTGAAATCATTCATGTTGGGTCGCAACACTTTTTTCTCTCCCTTCTTCCTGTGAACCTGCTCAGTGTTTACATTGCAGATTAGAAGGCTGGCAGGCTGCCAACTCACTGCTGGTAGGGGGTAACTGAGCTACCAAAAAAGTGAAAGTAAAACTGAGAAGCTTTTTGTGCATAATTGGAGAAATTAATTACTCCACAGTGCCTGCAGCTACAGAGGCCAACTGACCCGTTTACTGTCATCCCCATAAAATGACTTGCCTGCCATGCATAGAATAATAATTGCTAGATCTCTAGATATACAGTTTGGCAGTATCTGTCTACGTATGGAAGCCTTTAAGAAACCTAAAGAGAAAATAATAGCATTCTGCGGCTTTTTATATTAATGCACTCACATTTTTAATTAAAGATGTTCATTACGATAATAAAAAAGTATAGACAGAGATACGATTATTCCCAATTAATTCCTCATATCTACAGCTCATTAGCAAGAACACAACTTAGGAAAGGGATGTGGAGGTAGTAAAGAACATAGCCCAGGGAATCAATTTAGGACTGGTGCGATTACAATGTGTGCTGATCTAACGTAGCATGGCAAAGAGACATAATAGCTCAGTTACATGATTCCATCAATATGACCTTTATACAGCTAAGAAACTTGTGTAGAGCCGAAATTCCCTTTGAGCTTCACTTATGTTATTTAATAACCCATAATTCAAGTGCTCAAAGCGATATTAATGTTATGCCACTTACCCTAAGAAAGATGTAATCATCTTGTACAGTTAAAGAATTGCGATCAATGTTCCCATTGAACGGGAATGTTCGTGTTTTGTCAGAGCAGTTTTGAATCTGGCATGTCACATATCGATAACCTGCGGAGCAAAATCAATAGTGGAAACATTAAGTATCTCAAAGAGGCAGTTGGAGGGAAGAACGGTGCTTTGCACAGTATAAATATTGACCACTTTTATTTGCAGTTTAGGTATGGGACCGTGTGCCGAGAACGATGACAACCACTGGGAGACAAATGTATTCAGACACAAGTGTGTTGTATCTCTCACTGTCTCAGAAGGCACCTGCTAGCCTGTAATAAATACAATCTGGCCTAAGCTACAGATCAGAGAACATACGTGTGTTTACATGTATGTATGTATGTATGTATGTATGTGTGTCTATAGATATTGGTTTGACTAAAAATTACAATGGAATGTTACACAAAAAACCTAACGGTATCATTTGTCTGATTTATATATTCCTTCAATTTTCTTTCTTTACGTTTCTTTCCACTAAAAAAAATTAGAAAGCAGTCTTCTGTTCAAAACAGTTTTTTTGTTTTACAAGTACATGTGGCAATCTGTATGAAGAGCAATATGAAGGCTGAAATAACACTGAAACGAGAATGTAACATTGTCCAAGGTTCGGAATCCTTAGTAATTGCAATGAGAAATAATTATTCCATATAAACATGACATCAGTTTAAAAGCAGTAAAGAGAACTACAGTTCAAGAACTAACAGAGCAAGAGCAGGTGGAATGGGAATAGATGTTAGAGTGGCAACAGGGTCCAGGGGTCGGAAAGAATACTAGGGAGGGGAGATGGAGAAGGAGGTATTCAGGGGAGGATGGGGGACAGTGATGTCTCCTCTTAGCGCAAGAACAATAACCCAAAGACAACTGGCTCATAGTGTAAAGAGTACACAAAGAAATTAGGAGTCTATCCAGGGGGTCCTAATAATGTTAAATGTACCCATGGTGTCTTTTTGTTGAGCTGTGAGCTTCTCAGGAAATTAGTCTTCATACTAAGTTGCTACACAGCAGCTGAAAGCTGAAATCAAGTTTGCAATAGGTGGGGGGTTATAGAGCTTTGCATGCAGGAGGGAGAGGATTGGTGACACCAGAGTGGTGATAGCAGTCCAAAGAGGTGGGTCAGTGGCACAGTTCCTTTATATGTATTTCAAATGGAGCCTTGGCTATTGTGCTTGTGCTGAACTTTCTACAGCTATTTGTCACAAAAAATCCAGAAAACTAAGATGACTAAAGGCAGTTGCATCCTTACCCTGAATATGAGAGTTTCATCTCTTCCGTCTTTCTCCAGGGGTCCCTATCCAACCTACTGAAACTGATCTCTATCAAAAACATTACAGTGTAATCTCTGTACAGTCTTCTTTAGATTTACCGACAACTATGTAGTGCAAGAGATTGCCGAAACAATCAATTTAATTTATATCCAGACTGTAATGTGTATGGCTGCCTTAAGGCTATCTAAACACCCCAGAACTCCACACACACAACTTAGTCATAGATGACTCAATTTGATATTCCAAGACCAATTCACAATACCACCCAATGGCCATTGCACACAAAAAAAGGATGGCGCCATGTTCATTGTATGAATTCTTCCTCATGTAGAATAAACAAATAATCACTAAAGACAAATAAGTGCTATAAGATATTGGCACTAAAATGATGGCCCTGTTGAGGGGGAATAAACACAAACTAGTGCAGGAAAATCTAATTGGGGGTGATTTACCCCTAAGCAAAATGGCTCTTCACTTTGCAAGGGAATTTGCATTCTGCAGGGGACGTTTCCCCATAGTTTAGTTTAGTGAATAAGATGAAACTCTGCCAACTTCCATCACTCAGTCACATGCAAGCAAAAATACTGTTTTTATTTTCCTTGCACATGATCGGGTATTTGTTCTAAAGTGAAATGACACTACATTCACCAAGCTAAGATAAACTTCCCCAGCAAAGTGCAAATTCCCTTGCAAAGTGAACAGCCTATTTTCCTTTAGTAAATCAACCCCATTGCCTCTATAATATAAGAGATATATAAGAAATATAAGAGGGTAATCCAATCAACATGAGTCCGAATTTAAAATGAAATAATGGTTTTGGGTAAAGTTGGATTTGTAAGTTGGTTACAAGGAGAGTTGGAGAGTGCACATACAAGTGTTATCATTTACAAGTGTTTAGAACAGAATGAACATTGAATAAATCCAGTGAATAATAAAGACTGTTATTCTGAATGAGATTTATCATACAGATATCCCCTGCAGATGTAGAAAGAAAGCAGCATAGGTTGTAGGATGCTCTAAAATATTTACTATTTGCTCTGAATTATTAAATGGAATTGTTCTGGCAGCCTTTCCTTTTCCGTTTACCAATGTGTTTATACCAGTTTATACTTTTAGCCTATTGTATGTATTTGCCCAGATTATAAAAAGTATCAGCAGCAAACGGTTGTTAAAGCTGACATCTGCAAAAATGTATTCCTAGTCACAACCCAGGAAAACAGTGGCAATATATAAATCCCTTGTAGGATGTAATGTTTAAAGGATACCAAATGTTTAAAACGCATTGGGGGGAATTGATCAAAACTGGTACAGACAAAATATGGAGCAGTTGTCCAAGGTAACCAATCAGCTTCTCTCTTCAATTTGTTCAGTTAACATTTGAAAATGAAAGAGAGAAGCTGATTGGTTACATAGTATTTGAGGTTGAATAAAGACATTAGTCCATCAAGTCCAACCTATTAGGATCTCGTTCTAGGAGTAACTGTACCCCTGTATATTACGGTCCCTTAAGAAATCGTCCAAAAGTTTTTTGAACAATTCCACGTTTTTTGCTGAAATCACCGCCTGTGGCAGTGAGTTCCAGACCCTAACTGATCTTACTGTGAAGAACCCCTTTCGCCCCTTGTGCTGGAATTTTTTTTCCACCAATTTTAGGTGATGGCCTCTAGTTTTTGTAACGGAGTTAATTTTAAACAGTTTATCGCTAATGTTGCTACCACCATTAAACATTTTGTACATGGAAATCATATCCCCCCTTAATCTCCTCACCTCTAATGTGAACATGTTTAAATTTAGTAGCCTCGTCTCGTAGCTCTGGTCCTCCATACCCCTAATTAGTTTGGTTGCCCTTCGCTGGACTTTTTCCAACTCAAGGACATCTTTTCTTAGTACTGGTGACCAGAACTGGACCGCGTACTCCAGATGAGGTCGAACCAATGATCTATAAAGTGGCAAAATTATAGACTTGTCCCTGCAATACATCCCCTTTTTAATACAGGACAAGACCCTGCTAGCTTTGTTTACAGCAGCCTGGCACTGCAAGCTACCTTTCAGTTTGTGGTCTACAATGACCCCCAAATCCTTCTCCATTTCTGACTTCCCCAGCGGCATACCCATAATTGTATAACCCATTTGTTTATTTTTAATTCCAAAGTGCATTACTTTGCATTTATCGACATTAAACCTCATCTGCCACATTAATGCCCACTCCCCTATTTTATCCAGGTCCTCCTGTAATGTTATAGTGTCTAAGTCCGTGTCTATTACCCTCCCTATTTTGGTGTCATCCGCAAACACGGAAAGTTAGCAGGTTAGTCAGGCAGGAACGATCTTTCCTGAACCCATGCTGATTGTCATTAACTATCCCGTTTTCCTGAACAAATTCTACCAGATAATCCTTTATTATGGCCTCTAGCATTTTACAAACTACCGATGTTAGACTGACCGGTCTATAGTTCCCAGGTTGGCACCTAGCCCCCTTTTTGAATATTGGGACTACCGTAGCCCTCCGCCAATCACAGGGGTCCTACCCGTCATTAAGGAGTCCTTAAAAATGAGAAATAAAGGTCTAGATATAACATGGCTTAGTTCCTTAAGTAC